AAATCCATGAAGTCATTGACTAGCGGACTTAGCCATGTCGGTAATTGTCGACTACCTGGTTGGGGTCCGCGAGATGATAATAATCGATGGCTAGAGACCTTGAATGACATGGCTGAAAATCGTTCGCAATGGCGCCAGTGCATTTATTCTTTGTGTTCTCTCAAATCCTAATCTTCTGGATTCTTCAACACCTCTAGTTTTTACTTTCTAAACTTATCTCATTTAATCATACTTCATGAATAATATCTTCTAATCCTAACCTCTCCGATTACTTCTAATACCTTTACTACCTCTTCTACTATTGGATTTGAATTGACAATTATATCTCTGTGTTGATGTGGTATGGCGACATGAACTGATGTACTTACGTACGAAGTTCTACGTTGCATCTGACTGACTGACTGATAAGCACCAGTGCAGAGGTGACTGTTCATGCATACATTGACCAGATGTTCAACTGGCTTGCATGAGAATCTAGTCATGTTCGTACCCTCTTGGGTGTGTAAAGGGAATCAATTATGTTACAACAGTCGTGCGAACCTTTGTAATCTATAAAAAATCGGGCATGTTGGTTGACACAGAACTATTTGGATGCCCCATTCTGAACCAACAATCATGTGTTTAGTTATAAGAAAATCTGGTTGACTGATAACATTACCCATATAATATCAGTGTACTACTGCGTATTTTATACTTTCGAATTATTTTTAGCGGTTAAAAAAAAGTAGATAGATAAACCATTCATTTCAAAATAGTTTTTTTTGTTTAAGTACACTTACAACACACACTGATCTTCTCATATAAACCGAAAACTCTAACTCTGTTCATTTTCAAATGCTAAAAATATCCTACTACTACTGTAGTGAAGGAGAACACCGGTGGGGGCAACCGAATTGCATTTTTAACAAAAATTACAGAGTTACTCAGTAAAATCGGAAAACCATATCGTAAATTGTTCATTTGCAAAATATCAGTTCATCATATCGAACTGGACTGTTCCTGTTGCAAACAACATCAATCCATTGTCACTATTCATGTGTTTCATACAAATTCCATTGTGTTCCCACTCTTCTGCCTTTCTTGATCTTCCCCCATTCTTTTCTGCTGCCAGACATTACGTTGACACTCACGTCATATACTACTTATAAGTAGCTCGCACCACACTCGTCCCCCCTTTTAATAAGCTGTCGTCGTAGTCTTTCTGACTGCTGTACCGTTGTCATCTTTGGTGCTTTTCGTGACTCATACACTTGATAATCTTGAAACCATCTCTGCATTTGACTAGCATTTACGCGCTTCTTCTTGTCCTCTCTCCGTAAGCCCGTTTATCTGCGGATGATACGGTGTAGTTCGTATCCTCTTGACGCCAAACTGCTTTAGACGGGCTTTAAACTCGTCACTTTCAAAACAGGGACCCTGGTCAGTTAATATCACATTCCGTATTCCGTGACACGCTACAATATGCCGAATTACCACTTCGGTCATTGTTCTTACCCGCTGGACTGGAATGGACACAGCATCTATCCAACGTGTAGCGTTTACTAGTTCCCGCTGTTGGGACACGGCGGCAGGCACACTCTCAATAAATTGCGACGCCAACAACTGTGCCCCCGACTCCCCATCCATACTCGGCTCACACCACACTACTACTACTGCTACTACAATTATGTTACAAACTTATTTTAAATTTATGCGTGCGCGCGCACAGACACACATACAAATCTCAATTACATATTTCTAAAATAAATTATACGTTACCAATTATTATTATTTATAAAACATTGAAATAATAAACTTTACCACACCAAAATTACGCATACAATGAAACAATGACTAACCTTGATACTAAAGCTGTAGTAGATATACCTTCAGTTCGTTTCACTTCTCTAATTTTTTAACAAAAAAAAACAAACACCGTAACTAGTTCAAATGGAATTGTGAATGCAGTAGAAATATCTAATGCAATTTGAAATTATCGTTGTTGATGAGTAATTTTTTGTTACGCCTACACGTAAGCACGTCAACCTGATATACTTGAACTATTACGAGTTTACCTAGTCAGAAAACGAGAGTGAGAATCGAGCACCCGGTGACACGACATACTACTCAAATCCAATTATCCTAACCCCCATATTTAGTTAAAATAAGAAGACGTGATATGAAGTAGAACATGTATTCCACAAGCATCCAGAAGGTACGAGGTACGAATCAAGAAGAGAATCAGGATCCCGGACTAGGGATCCGAGACCGGGTCCTGGTCCTGGTCGTGGTCATAAAATGTTACAGATAATGCGTATTTATACATTTTGGTCGAATAGGAAACAGCATCGAATTCTGTGACATTGACAGTTAAGACAACCAATAGGAAGTAACATTTGGAGTGACATTGATAGTCAGGATGACCAATAAGCGACTACATTGAAGTATTTGACTTTGACAGTTAAAACGGCCATAATTTTGACTAATGGAAACCGACCAATAGGATTTGACCAATAATTTTCTTAGGATATTGGATGAATATCCTAACATTTTTTCAATTAGAATTTACGAGATCATTGTTAAGTTACACATAGAAATCATCAATCAAGTCATAGTATGAGATTCGTGAGCAGTGCACATCCACGACACCTGCAACTCGCGGGATTCAAATCCAGGAGCTTCGGTCTTGCGTGTGAACGCCTAAACTCTGTACTAGTGTGCCGGCGTCCAACGATCAATCGAGGGATTTTGCGTGCGACCTCAACCATTTGTCTAAGGTCGGTACTACCTACACACACGACAGGGTTGAATTTAAGACTAAATAATAGATATATTACGATGTATTTCAGTCTCTTTAAGTTCTATCAACCCTTTAACCTAAATACTATGGGTTGTTTTGAAGATAACAGTAAACATTGATTATCTTACTTGCTCACTTACTTACTTTACACCTGTTACCATCCTCATAATGGAACAGAGGCCACCGACCAGAGAATTATTTTCCTAGTTAGCCTATGTTTTTAAGCGAGTTAGATTTCTTCAGTATGTGGTCGTTAACCCCATCCCCAATCCTCTTCTTTTATCCTGGCTCGGGACCGGCAGTAATCGTTGGAGAGCTTCAGGCGGAGTTTTATTATCTGACTACTAATTACTATTTAAAAGACATTGTACAACTCTGTTGGGGCTGTTACATCCCCAGAACTCGCTTGATAAATAATGCCTTATTTTGGATTTCACGTTTGCCAGCATGGACTGATCAGTGGACCTTGAGATTTCATTTCCCAACAGCGAAATCCATGGCTGTGATTAGCTGCTGTGTATTTTAATGTGCTATTTTTGGTGACTATCCCAAGGACGTTTCTATGATGTATAAATAAACGAGAGTTGTGTGTTTGATGGTATTGTGATTGCTGGGTGTTTGTAGAGTATACTTTCTACGCTTATCAAGACTTCTATTTTGCAATTCGGTATTCAAGGTAGTGTACGTGGAAGCTGGTAATTGTCTCGTTGGCGTTTATCGACTAAGGTGAACTCGTAATACCTTCAAGCGTACCAAGTGACGAACATAGCAAACTCAAACCTGAAGAAATCAAATACTTACATCACACAACAAAATACAATGCTTGATTTGTCCTATAGAAAATCATGAGGTGGGTAAAAAATGACTGCTAAAAAACTCGAAAACATCTTCTACACCCTGTCAACTATAACTTCAATGATGTTCAAAGCCTTCAACACCACAACAACATTTAGCTTTGAACAATTAAAAAAATTGAACACTGAACTCTTGTTCAATCAGCTTCAGTTCGAGAAATCAATCAGTCAGGTAGCATTATCATCCTTTATTAGAAGATGGAGTTGATATTACAAAATCTTATATTGCATTGCGAGGTTGTTGTGAAGATTTTTACGTTTTATTTGGAACCATGAATCGATCAATGTTAGGCCACCATTAGAAACCTGGAAGAAGCACTGGACGGCCGTCAAATCCTGGTATGGGACTCGTCAGCAGTGCGCATCCACAACTCCTGCACCCCGCAGGATTCGAACTGCGGACCCTCGGTATTGTGCGCGAACGCCTAACCCTCGGACCACTGGGTCGGCATTCAACGGTGTCAATGTCTAACTCTAATTGATATAAGAATTTTGCACAACCTCATACCCTGTATACATCCGAACAGGTTTGAACTTCACTGGTCACGACTTCAAGTTAGACATTAACACCGTTGGATACCGGCTCAGTGGTCTAGCAGTTAGGACGTTCGCGCACAATACCGAAGGTCCTGCGTTCGAATCCTGCGGGGCGCAGGAGTTGTGGATGCGCACTGTTGAGGAGTTCCATACCAGGACGAAACAGCCGTCTTTCAGTGCTTCCAGGTTTCTAATGGTGGTCGAACATTGACCGATTCATGGTTAGAAATACAAAATCTTAATTTTTTCTTTGTAGGAAAATGGAATAGTACAACAATGTCATACATCTCTTACTTGTATCGATTAGCTGCCTTGACTTCTGCATAAGGATCTGATCCATCATTGGATACCACTAAATCATCTAGAAACGATACAAATTAGGATAAAAATTTGTTTAACTCATTAAACAATTTGCAGATGAACAGGCAGAGTGTTGCAATTTATTCCTTTCAAACACAAAATATAAGAACAATTGGTATAATTAATTTACTAGTTACAACCAATGAAAAATGCATGTAAGAATTTAAGATTCTTCTTGAAGTATGAAAAATAGTTTTTTTTTTTCAAAAAGAAAAATTGAGATCAAGTGTGTGTGTGTGTGTGCAGTAAATGTTCAGGCAATATGCATTACGGGGTTGTTGTGAAGATTGTTACGTTTTATTTGAAACCATGAATCGATCATTGTTAGACCACCATTAGAAACCTGGACGAAGCACTGGACGGCCATTTCGTCCTAGTATGGGACTCCTCAGCAGTGCGCATCCACGACTCCTGAACCCAGCAGGATTCGAACTCAGGACCTTCGGTGTTGTAGGCGAACGCCTCAGGCAATAATGCAATATAAGAGAGATATAAGTAAGTTGAAAATATTTGATCATAGGTAGTTTTGAAATGGAATTATACTTCGTAAATAACTTATTCGCAACCGAATCTCTCCCATTACTGCTAATACTTGTACTACCTATGCTATGGTGGGAATTGAACTGACAATTCAATTTCTCTGTGTGCTAATGTGGTTTGGCTATTTGAACTGATGTACGTACGTACGAAATTCTACGTTGTGACTAACTGACTTTGAAGTAGTTATTTCTCAAATGAGGTAGAATGACATCATGAATAATAAATTTAGTTAGCGTTCAAGTATTCAGTAAGCATGGCACATAAATTTCTCAGAATGTAAAAATCTTTACTAACTGAGATTAATGAAAGATTTGTTAAGTATAACTAATTATAGTTAATTCAAGCGTAAGATACCAGTTAGCATAATTGATCTGGTAGTAAGTTTGTGAAATCATCATTAAACTGTTGGACTGAACCGTATTGGTAGGTGCAAACTTCTTAAATAGGATTTAAGAGCTAGTTGACTGCAGCTGCTACCTTGATGTGGTGGTCGGACTTACCTATCCGGATGAACCAACCGAGTTTTATTTGTTGGAACAACTGTTGCTTTAGGTCCTACGATGCCGTGCAGTAAAACGGTAAGAATAAAAGTAGCGACTCAAGGTCTAACGGCGATGTCTTACTAGTTAGCACAAGAGTCAGTTAGTTACGACGTAGAACTTCGTACGTACGTACGTACATCAGTTCAGGTTGCCATATCACATTAGCACAGAAACGCAACTGTCAGTTCATATTCCATAGTGGTAGAGAAAGTAGAAAAATTTGGAAGTAATATAGAAGATTAGGGTTTGAAGATATGATTCGAGAAGTATAATTCAAAGAGATAACCTTAGGAAGACAAAGATAAAGATGACGAGGAATTCAAAAGATTAGAATTGTATAGAACACAGAGTGGATGTACCTGTGTGACATTTGTCTCGCGGACCCCAACCACATAGTCGACACCTACCGACATGACTCAATCCACTTGTCAATGACTTCATGGATTTCTGCCATGTTTTGGTCTGGCCGCCCCTAGCTTTCTTCCAACCTACTACTACACCACAAAACATAGCTCTTCGAGGCAGTCGGTGGTTAGACAGACGCAACACATGTCCCAACCACCTCAACTGATGAAGTTTCACCACTTCATCTATTGATCTGCCATCCTTACCTGGAACTCGTTTCCTAACGACAGCATTGCTCACTCGATTGTCCCAGGATATACGAGCAATGCTTCGAAGACACCTATCATCGAAAACCAGTAACCTACGAATATCTTCTACTCTCACTGGTCATGTTTCACAGCCATAAATTAAGACGGAGCGAACTACTGCACAGTACACTCGTCCTTTAGCAGCAAACGGATATCTCGCCTGCGCCATGTGACGCAGGTTGGCAAAAGCCAATCGAGCTTTCTGCATCCGTGCCGAGATTTCGTCAGTCACCAGGCCATCAGCACTGATGAGACTCACCAGATAAGTGAAGCGGTCTACACGCTCGACCACTTCACTCCCTAACGCTAGTTCAGGTACCGATGAAACCCAATCTTGGAGCAACATTTCTCATTTCGAGGGGGGAAACCGCATTCCGAACATGCATGCATTGTTACTTAGGGTGGTCAGAAGACTCTGCATTTTGTCAGCGTCTTCACCAAATAGAACTATGTCATCGGCATATTCTAAGTCAACAAGCGAGCCACTTGGTAGAAGGTCAACCCCTGAAAAATCTGACGAGCCCAATGTTAACTCTAAGAGGATGTCTACGACAAAGTTAAACAAGAATGGAGAGAGTGGACAGCCCTGACGGACACCACTTGATGTAGAGAATTCCGATGACAGTTCGCCATATGCTCTCACCCGACCAGTGGTGTTCGAGTAGAGTGCTTGTATAAGGTTAATGTACTTCTTTGGTACACCTTTCAATGACAGACACTTCCACAGAACCTCACGATCCACAGAGTCAAATGCCGCCTTAAGGTCCAGGAAAACAACTATTGTCGGACGCCCAAATGTGTGTCTATGTGTCGTCGTGTGAAGAGGTGGTCTATACTCAATAACATCTACCCCCTTACGTTATGCCTAAATCATAAATAAATTAAAATACAATTGAATATTGAAATTGAACAATTTGTACAAATAAATTTGTACTGATTGTTTCAATCTAATTCTGATTATTAATAGTTTGGGAAATTCTAAACAATCAAAGATATATCACATGATGACGCCATAAACAAAAAAAACCGATCACTTTGTTATGCAAGAAGCTTTATAAATATATCCAGAACTAACAAACTCAATAGTCATACACATGAAATGTTATGTTGGTCTAAAGTCAACCAATCAAAACTAAGTGATTTTATGAAGATTTAGATTAGTTTATTGAATTCAATGTGATCTTCTTAGTCCAGTGTGATCTAATCTCTATTGTACACACACAGATTAGTGAGCTAGTAAGGTTATGTAATAGTGCAGAAGTTTACATGTATACGAGGATTAATACTTTACAAATAGGGAAAAAATAAAATTGTACATTTTCCCGTCAATTACAACCTGGAACCTGACACGTACGTACGTAGATCAGTTCAAATTGCCATGTACTAACAATCAAGCATAGAGAGATGAAATTATCATTAAGAAATCTAAGACTAGCTGAAGTAAGAACAGTATTAACGGTAATGGAAAATAGTAGGAATCGAAGATAATTTTCAGAAAAAAAGTATAAATCAATAAAAAGTTATGAGGAACCTATTTTTTTGAGAGGAGACAAAGAAGTGATGTGCGCCCGCTCCATTGCATACAAATTTGAACGATGTCATTTCAAGTCTCTAACCACCGGGTACGATGATGATGCGCAGTGCCGTAATCATGTAGTCTGAATCTATTACCATCGTTCGATCCGATTGTCAATAACTACTACTAACAACTTGTACACACTGTTTTTGATCATAACAAAAGTGTAGAAACCTGAAATATCTGGTTTACAATCTAGGATAAGCTTTAGGATAGAATAAATGAAAGGGCACGTCGAACTAAAAGTACCCATATCGTTGAATTCTTCTTCTCAATTGTGATTATAACTTCTTTTTTTGGTACATTTAAACTTCACCAGTTAATTTATTTTCATTAAATTTAAAACAACTTATTGGATCAAATCACAAACATACCTCCATGTACACAGAAATCACATGAATATTTTTCCAATGTTTTCACATAAGTAAAATAAGGTGCATCTTCGACTACCTATAATAAAAGATTTGGAATCAAATGATGACTGATTAACAAGTTTATTTAATTACACAAATCAATTAACGAGATATTTTTTCATTGTGAGGTTAGGTGCTTGCGTGCAAGACCGAAGGTCCTGGGTTCGAGTTCGTGGATGCGCACTGTTGATGAGTCCTAGACAAGGACGAAAACGGCCGCCCAGTGCTTTCAGGTTTCTAATTGTAGTGATCTAACATTGATCGATTCATGAATTCAAAAAGTAACTTAACAATCTCCACAACCCCTGAATACAAATTACCTGGCTTACTAGTGACTAGCTCCATGAGGAATTTTCTCCGATTTCTAGTGAGACGTCGAGATCAGAGGACTACAACCCTGTTCGGGTGTGAAGACAGTGGATGAGGTTGTGCAAGACAGAAGATTGATAGAAGTTAGACACTGGCACCGTTGGATGTGGGCCAGCTGAGTGGTCTAGAGGTTAGGCGTTCGTGCGCAATACTGGAGGTCCTGAGTTCGAATCCTGCGAGTTGCGGGAGTCATGGATGCACACTGCCGGTGAGTCCATACTAGGAAGGAACTACCACCCAGTGCTTCCACCCTGAATGACATGGCTCAAAATCGTTCGCAATGGCGCCGGTGCACTTATTCTTCGTGTTCTCTCAAATCCTAATCTTCTGGATTCTTCAACCCCTCTAGTTTTGACTTCCTAAGTTTTTCTCACTGAATCATACTTCTTGAATAATATCTTCTAATCCTAACCTCTTCGATTACTTCTAATACCTTTACTACCTCTTCTACTAATGGATTTGAATTGACAATGATATCTCTGTGCTGATTTGGTAAGGCAACATGAACTGATGTACTTACGTACCAAGTTCTACGTTGCATCTGACTGACTGACACCAAGTAATGGAGACAGACATGAGAAGAATGAACGAAAACTGAAAAGAACTGGAAAGGGCAGAGTAGGACAGAGTTTTTTAGAGAAAACTGGTCAGCAGTTTATGCTCCATTGGGTGTTGTAACAGGCGTAAGTTAAGTTAAGTTACTTATTTACAGAACCCATGACATGCCTGCAATCCATAGATGAAGACGAATTTTCTGGAATCATGAATCAATCAATGTTAGATCACCATTAGAAACTTAGAAGCACCGGACGGTCGTAAAGTCCTGGTACAGGAATCATCAGCAGTGTGCATCCATGACTCTTGTTACTTGCAGGGTTCGAACCCAGGACTTTCGGTCCTGCGCGCGAACGCCTAACCTTCAGACCATTACATCATTTTATACTTTTTTATTTCTCAACCCCTTTATATGTTGCTTCTGAATCATAATTCTTATATCTACTAGCATTTAATTACAATTGATAATTATGTTTCTTTCCCTCACGCTGTGATGACACAAAATTTCATGCAACTTCCTTCAACTGACACAATTAATTATACTTGAAATCCTACATTGTAACCTACTAACAACTTGAATACAAGTTTTAATGGCGCCAAAAAATCACAAAAAATCACAAATCATTTTCCAATTTACCTCATCAACCCATTTCATAGCACGAATCAATCGATAACGTTCTTGTTCATGAAATACCGGTGGTCCTTTATGTTTAGTAATTTCTTCTAATAAAAATAATAATAAAAATTAAACTTTTTAACATTTTCAAAGCAAAACAAACTTACTATCTGAATGTATACCAACAATCAATTGGTCACCGAGTGATTTAGCCTGACGTAATGCATTCGCATGTCCAAAGTGTACTAAATCAAAACTTTACATAGAAAAATAAAATAACACTTTTATTTCAAAAATAAATAAAATCAAATTACCATCCATCGACCCAAACACGTATAGGTGATTTTCGATGAGGATTAGACGATGAATGGTGCATTGTTGTTGAAAATTTTTTTTGTAGTGAACACACAGGGGAGGGGAAGGATTTGGATGAATGTTTCAGCTTTTCGAAGGCGGGGGAAGGAGGTAACAATATTCACTACAACTACTGCTACTACTAAAAGAAAAGAGTAAATAAAATAAGATCACTTTTTATTGATTATGATAATTTATGTTACTTTTAGAAATTAGCATGCAGAATCTTAGTACAGATCATTAGTAAATAACTCGATTCACTTCCGATGAGACAGTCAGTCAGTCAGATGCAACGTAGAACTTCGTACGTAAATACATCAGTTCATGTTGCCATACCACCAAATTAGCAGAGATATGATTGTCAATTCAAATCCAATATAGTAGAGGTAGTAAGGGTATTAGAAGTAATCGGAGAGGTTAGGGTTAGAAGATACTATTCAAGAAGTATGATTCAGTGAGAAAAGTTTAGTAAGTCAAAACTAGAGGTGTTGAAGAATCCAGAAGATTAGGATTTGAGAGAACACAAAGGAATAAATGCACCGGCGCAATTACGAACGATTTTGAGCCATGTCATTCAAGGTCTCTAACCATCGATTATTATCATCTCGCGGACCCCAACCAGGTAGTCGACAATTACCGACATGGCTAAGTCCACTCGTCAATAACTTCATGGATTTCTGCCATGTTTTGGTTTGGCCACCCCTGACTTTCTTCTAACCTACTCCTACACTACAAAACAAAGTCCGTCGAGGCACTTGGTGTTTAGGCATAAGCACCACATGTCCTTCGACTAGACACATAGATAGATAGATACGAGAATGTACGAGTATAGAGTGTTTTTGTTAGGATATTCATCAAATATCCTAAGAGAATTATTTTTGTAAGTCTAATTCTATTGGTCAATTCCTAATGGTCATCTAAGATATCAATGTCACTTCGAATGTTGTTTCCTATTGGGCGTCCTAACTGTCAATGGTGACAGACTCCAGTGTTGTTCCTAATTGACCTAACTGTACTGTTACGCATCCACGTAAACATGTCATTTTTATATACTTGAACTATTATGAGTTTACCAGAGTCAGTAAACGAGAGTGAGGATCGAGGATCTGGCGACACGACATGCTACTCTAATCCGAGTGTCTCAACCCCCATATTGAGTAAAAGGAGAAGACCTGTATTCTACAAACATCCAGAAAGTATGAGGCCCGAGTCCAGGAGAAAATCATGATCCCGGACTAGGGATCCGGATCCGGGTCATAAAACGTTACAAATAATGCGTATTTATACATGTTAGGATATTCATCCAATATCCTGAGAGAATTATTGGTCAATTCCTATTGGTTAATTCCTACTGCTCAATTTTTTGGTCAGCCTAGATATCAGTGTCACGTACTTCAGTGTCGTTTCTTATTGGTCGACTTAAATGTCATTGTCACAGAATTCGATACCGTTCCCATTCGACCTACATGTGTAGATACGCACTATCTGTAATGTTTTATGACTCGGACCCAGATCCCTAGTCCGGGATCCTGATTCTCTTCTGGACTCGTACTTTCTGGATGTTTGTAGAATACAGGTTCTACTTCATATAAAGTCTTCTTTTTTAGTCAATATGGGGTTTGAGACACTCGGATTAGAGTAGCATGTCGTGTCACCGGATCCTCGATTCTCGCTCTCGTTTTCCGACTAAGGTAAACTCGTAATAGTTCAAGCATATCAAATGACGTGTTTGCGTGCATAAGTAACAGTTTTGTGATAGTATAAAGAGAATTAATTGACTGAAGGAAGAGTAAATCAATCAAATTCATATACTATCAATAGAACGAAAAAACTAAATTCAAGAAATTAAAATGCTGAGTAAAATAAATAAGTAGGTACAGCTATACACCACAATTATAGGAATATGATGAAAAGTAAAGTATGCATTGTTTAGTTTGAAGTTTTAACGTAAACAACCACTTGTACATTTTCTGACTTGGAAAAGAGGATTTGTTGTAACAAATTTGGTCTCGTGTGCTGTTACGGGTATGAGGGCGGTTGTCACTTCCCGGATGCCCACACCGTGGAAAGGTGTTTCTCGAGGAACCTGAAAAAGAAGGTAGATTGGTGTCGGTCTTAGAGACCTGGGAGCGTGACCGCAGAGCCCAAGGGACAACTGCTTGAGGCCGGTTACGTACCGCCATTTTATGAAAGGTTTTTTGACGGAAACCCATGAGGTAGGGTATGGTGTGACATTTTTAGGGTCGACCTTTTCTAACCCTTCCTTCCACTGCGAGAAATCAGCATCACCATAGATGCTGGTTGTCCGAGAGAAACACCTCACTGCTGTCACACCTCTCTACAGTCAGCTGTACGACTTCGCCCTCAGACCTTGAGTAGCTGTTTTTGGTCTGATCGTTCTCCAATCGACCTACCTGGCATGGTAGAACGTTCAGGGACATATGTTCCAGTCACAATAGCTCGGTTGGGTCATCACGGTAGGCAAGCTCGACCACCACGTCAAGGTAGTAACCACGGTAGTAGTTTTTCGCAACCAGAAATTAATACGAAATAGATTGACAAGAAGTTAACTCTATTACTTGAATCACAAATAGTGTAGATTAACAAACACCGAAAGACATTTTATTATTGAGCTAAGATGATCATAACTAATAACCAACCATAGATGTTGAGACTCCTAAGATAAGAGAAGCAGTCGATTCATTCACTTACTTTCCTAAAATTAATTGGTTGATATCCTAACATCGTCCAAATGATTACATAACATGAGATTTAATTAATCCTGCACTTAAATTAAAGCCTATTAGAGAGTCAAGCATTTATTTCCAAAGATCAGTCAACCACATAACTTAAGAACTAGTCGATAGTAAATACTATTCTACAGTGAAGTAATCCTGATGCTAAGTGCATCGTCAACAAATATCCAGAAGATGGTTTTAAAATACTTCAAATGTTAAAAATTTCAGAAAACGCTCTTTATGTCCGGCAAGAACCTTACCTTATATAATGTGTGTCATTAATATCAGTTGTTAGAATGTGAAAAAGTGTAAATCTCTGAAACATCTTAAATGCCTAGCAAACAATCGATTCAGTTAGTCAGCTATAATGCGGAGCTTCGTACATACGTACAGCAGTTCGAGTTGCCATATCCCATTACCACATAGAGATGGAATTGTCAATTTAAATACCATATAATGGTAGATGCAGTAGAAGTATTTCGTCAGACACCAACCAGGCCTTCAGAACCGATGAGACTCCGAAGATAAGTGAAGTGTTCAACTCGCTCAACTACTATACTCTTTATCACCACTAGTTAAGCTGGTCAGAAAACTACATTCTGTCAGCGTCTTCACCATATTCTAAGTCAAAAAGCGAATCTCCCAGTAAAAAGTTAACTCCTGAAATGTCAGACGATGAAATTATCTCTTCTAAAAGTTTGTCTATAACTAAGTTAAATAAAAATGTAAAAAGCAGGCAGTTCTGAAGAACATCACCCGAAGTAATTAATTCCGATAAAAATTCACCTTAAGTTCTGACTAGTCCAGTAGAGGGACTGTAAATGGTTAATGTACTATTTTGATCCTTTTTTTCTGTGATAGATCGCCACAGATCAACAGAGTTAAACGCCGCCTTAAGGTCAAGGAATACGACTATAGTGGGACGTCAAAATGTGTGTCTGTGTTCTAGGACCTGATGTAGTGCGAACATCTGATCTATACAGACATATCCATGTCTGAAACCAGCCTGGTTTTCTCTAGTCTGCTCTTCACAAGCACTAGTTAGGCATCTAAGTATTATTGAGGCTAACATCTTAGACACTATATTATTTAAACTGATTCCTATATGATTGTCACAAGAGTACTTTTGTTATTTCTTATAGACTGAGAATATCAGGGATTGAGACCAGGTGGATGGAATCACGCACAGTTCCCAAATTCTACTTAAGATCTCAGTCAACCTAACTACTAAAACTCGACCACCATCCTTAAAAATCTGAAGTTAACCTATCAGCTCTCTCTCGCTTTAGATTGCCAATAGCCTTTTAGATTTGATTAAGTGTCGGAAGACATCCATCGATACGCCATTCAGGTTGACTGGTAATCGTGGGCACTCGAAGTGTCGCTGAAGGCAAACTGGACTAATCCTTTAAATGTTCTGACCATCGATCCAATCTCCTGAATTAAGAATGAATAATAAGCTCAAGATAGTCTCACTAACAGTTGGATTCCTAATTCCAGTTTCTTTGATAAGTTCGGACAGTTTTCTACTGTTGCCTATAGCTGCTAACCTTTTCATTTCTCTTCCTTTAGCTACCCACCAGTTTGCTACCACTGCGTAGGCTTCTTATCAGCCTGCGCTTAAACTGATTCCACTACTAATCGTATTTAGAGCCAGACGGGATGAATTTCTGAGCATCTATCAGTTTAGTAGATGCTGCTGAAATCCACTGCTCTCTCCTATCCTTTTGGTTTAACCTACTGGTAGATATCACTGCTCTTTTAACAGCTTTTTGAATATCATACCGATCTGTCTGGCTTCAACAAGGTTGCAACTACGGTTGAGATCCAACTATTCCACTTTTAAGTGATAAAGATTATTGTTAGATTTTATTTAAAATTAAAAACTGCCATTCCAAAGTACTAAGTTCTTAAAACCTGATGCTTAAGAGACTGAGGAAAATTTAAAAACACATCTGAACTATTCAGTTGCAAATAATTTAAAAGCCTCCACCAATACATAGAGGATTCTAATCTCCTGAATTCATTATCACCTATATCTTTTTCTTTCTAAATTTATCTCACTGAATTACACTTCTTGAATAATTTCTTCGGACCTAATCCTCTCTATTAACGCTAATACTTCTAATATCTCTACCACTATGGGATTTGAATTGACAATTGTATCTCATACCTTGAACCTTTGACTCGAAAGTCGAATTCAAAAGATGCAGTCTCACGGCAACTGGTGGCCAGCAAAAGAGTTGGACTAGTAGGCAATGGCTTCATATAATTCGCCGTATGG